CTGTGTCACCTGGGCTGAAAGTGGCCTGCTTTGGGTCAGCCCCCTGGGACTCTGGCCATCAGAGCCGTGCCCCCCTTGCACTCCTGGCAAGGCACTGCTCTGATGTTCAGAACCAAGGGCATCACCATTCTGCAGTGACGGGGAGCTCATAAAGTCCCCCAGCCCCAGCTGCAGTGTGGGTCGCTGGGAAGTCCCAGCCCCAAAGGCGCCATGGCCAGAGCCCTTGGGTGACAAAGCTGTGCCAAGAGCTGGCCCAGCCAAACCCTGCTCCCTGTTCCTCTTGGCCCGGGCTTCACCATCAAGGCCAAACAAACAGTAGCTCCTCTGCCCTGCGTCTTCCATGCTGCCCATGCACACGTGCGCCGTTTGGAAGCCAGTCTTCCTGGACTGTGACCCAGACTCGTCTCCCTCTACAGGCCTGTTTCGGCCTTGCTGACTGTGTTGTACCTGTTATGACAGCGTGTCCTAGATTTCATGCAGGCAGTAGACCCAGAGTATCTGGAAGCATCTCACATCATCATATTGTAACAACCACTTCATGTGTATGGCCTAGATCACCATTAAATGTAAGCTTAGACTTTGACTTGGCAGCCAGAGGACATTGGTGGCTGGAGAGCAGTGGTCACGTGCATTGGTGGCCTTAACTACAAATCTATAATAAAACTCACTTTTCCTTTAGAACACTTAGCTCATTTCAACATGTCGTGGTATCACCGTGAGGGTGGGGTAATCTGAAGACTGGCTTATTTTGGTGCTTATTTCTACTGCAGCAGTTCATCAGAATGTGGGTGCCAAACGGCAGCTCATAGAGTTTTGATGAGTCATGACTACTTGTAAAACTGAACGGCATGTTGTGGCCAGTGGGGCTCTCAAAATCAGTGCGCCTCCCGGACTACACAGTCAGTCCCCGGCTTCCAAGTGACAGTTCCCTACCGCCTTCACTACGCGGAAGGGCCTGGAGCTCAGCTCGTGGGCTGGCCAGCGTGCTGTGCTCCAGGTGGCCGTGCCGGACTCTAGGCCGTGCGTGCCCAGAGGAAAGGGAGGCAACTGAGGCAGTTAAATTGATCAAGCTGGCCGTGCAGGTGGGGCCATGAAGCTGGCCAGGTGCTGAGAGCCCATGGTATCGGCGTCACTGTCAACGGCGTCTTCTTCCAGGGGCCACGTCGTGTGCTGTCTGCCGGGAGATGGGCATCCCTGGCCCCTGCCACCCACGGGGTGCGGGGCCCCAGTCACTCCTGGTGTAGAGAAACCTCATCCCACATGGGATCAAGCCCGAGACGCTGCCCCCTCGGGCCAGTCACAGGTTGTCATGAAATGTTTACAACATACAAGATTATGAGAAAGTCAAAACAGGTAACATGTAAAAAAATTTTCATTTTCAACTGACCAGGAAATAAAGAGAAAGAACCAGATCCACCCTTTCATGGTTAGTCGGTTTCTTTTCCCAGAAAGAAACACTTTATATGTAGATACCTGCATCAGAAATAGAAGTCCCAAGCAGGTGGCTACTGGGATTCAGTGTGCAGTTCATACTCTACCACAGGCTAAGTGTACCTGTACCTCCAGCCCCAGTGTCTTACTGACGGCTACTGCCTGGCCGTCTTTGCACCTCTAAGGAGGCCAGGCTGGAAAGCAGGGCATGTGGCCAGGTTTCGGGTCAGGGGCGCCCTTCCCCAAGCTGGAGACGCAGCGTTCATTTGACGCACGCTTCGTGTCCTTAAGAGACCAAAGAAACTGAGGAAAGACGTTGTCACAAAGAAATGGTTTATCCAAACAGGTGGCCGATGAGGTGTGTGCCATGGCTTCCAGCAGCTGCCGCTGAGACCATACACCCTGGAAATTAACTTGCAACAGCTTTGCAGGGGCACCTCAGGGTCCTTCTTCCCGGTCATTATGCTCGTGTTCATCCAGTGGTTTGTTTCACTCCAATCCCCAAGGAAACTTTCCCCTTCGTCTTGTATGTGAAAATTGTTCATAAACATCGTTTCTTCTGAGGTGCTCAATGTGTATGACTGCAGTAGCCACCCTCGGGACCCTTGTAGGCACGTACATTTTAAGTAAGATAGCGTCAGGTGACCACCTCCTGCATCAGCTCCTGGGGAGATGCTTTGTCCAGTACTTCATTTCCCAGAATCATCGGGGGCTCTCCTCCTGGTAACTGTGAGATCCAGGGGTTGGGGGGACCTCGTATGCAGAGTGGAGGGGCCACCGCCCAGCCCCCAACCCCACCACAGGGAGGTGGCTCCTCCCTGTGCAGGTCAGCTTGCAGGTTCTGCAATACCTGGCAGCAGGGCTGTGGGCACTGTCTGCATTTGCACGCCCCCCTGGTTTCTGCGTCCTCGGCCACCGCAGCACCACCATACACACTGCAGGCACCCCCATCACCAAGTCAACTGCCAGGCCAGCCCAGGCCACTGCTGAGGCTCCTGCTTCTCATGGGCTTGCCTGGCAGACCCCCAAATCCAGGAAAGCCAGTGTCCCTGCTTGGTGTCCTGACCTTGAGACACGCGGTAACTGGGCCTTCGTTTTTTGCTTAAATGTTTAGCAGAACTCCCAGCTGACTCCTTGCAGGCCTGAAGTCCTTTGGTGGGGTTACTTTTAAGTAGATTCAACTTTTCAAATATGCACCACACACCGGACTGTTAAGATTGTCATCTCTTTGAGTGTCTGCTTGGACATCTGTGCTGTCAGAATGCTCCACTTCGTGTAGACCATCTGGTCTGCTTGTGCCAAACTGCTTGCGGTGTCCTCCTGGTGGCCGGCCGTTTGCAGGGTGTTCATGCTCGCCCCTGATTCAGTCCCCCCTGCCTTCGCCCTGTCCTCACACAGTCTTGCCATTGTCCATTTTCTTTCTTTAAAGTTTCGAAGCTGGTCAGTTTCTCTATTTCTCATTTTCTGTCTTAAATTTGTTGTTCTTTCTTCCCTTCTACTTTCATTGGGTTTGATTGGCTATTGTTTTTCCAGCTTGAAATGAATGCTTGCATCATTGATGTGTCGCTTTCTTTCCTGGTACATGTAAGATGATCAGTTTCCCTTTAAGTAGAATTTAGTAGCATCCCATATATTTCAAGATGTCATAATTTCGTCAAGTTTAAAATTAAGTTTTCCTTATTACAAAAGCAGTGTCTGCTTGATGCCCTGTGGTTGGAAATCAGAAAAGTGCAGTGGGTGAAAAAACCCCAGAGAACTCACACCAGCCAAAGAAAACAGGGTACACCCCATATAGTAACAAATATTAAAGTTTCCCTTTAAAAATTACACACACTTGGACATGTTTGTATGACAGAGTGTGATATACTTACCATTTTATGGCCTTTTTGCCACCTCCCCTTCTTATGATACTATTTTTCAGCCTTTTCCTTTTCCAATGGCAGGTCAGTAGTGTGATCATTCTCAGTGGGCAGTCGTTCATAATGTAGTCTCACCACTTACAAAGAGAAATGACCCACCGAGCATGAGACGCACTTCACTGGCCCGGCAGAGCCTGAGGGAGGCTGGCCACTCTCTTGATGGATAGTCAGGATGCCAGTCTGCCGCCCAGTAGCCTGCCACGTGGGTCCCACTGCGTTTACATCCATGATAGGACACCCTGTACACTACTTTCCTCTGAACTAATAAAGGCAAGCTATGTTTTTTTTAATAGAAAACAACAAGAAATGAAGTGTTTTGTTTTTTTTAACTGAACCTGGGAAATAAACTGATTCATAAGGAATGGTCATTTTTGAAACGTTTGTATTTCATAATACCCACTCCTTGGTCAGCCCTGCAGTGCTCCACCTGGATCTGCTTTGTCTGCTAAGCTTTGGTCCCTATCACTGATCAACACTTAAATGGAAATTGCTGATTCAGGAACCCATTGTGGTGGTGGAGGGACATAAAAGACACTAATCAGGAGTCGTCAGGCCTCATGTCGCGGTTTTATGAGGAGTGGTCTGGCTTCGTGCTAAGTTGAGGGTCAGCACCAGGACTCAGAGGCGTGGTCAGCAAGCCTGTCAGAGAAAATGGGGGCTCTCACTTGAAAACTAGCAGTGAGATTTTTAAGGAAGAAATGGCCTTCATTGTTCAGAGCACCTGTGTGTTGGGACGCAGTGGTCCCAACCACACGGGAACTCGCCGGCCCTGGGCCAGAGGTGAGCAGGGTCATCAGGTGCCGAGGCAGCTCCAGGCGTTTGACGCCAGCCGCCAGGCAAGGACGAGCTGGGCACTTTCCAGTTTCTGGCAGCAGCGGGTCCCCTGAGTAGTTCCTGCGGTGCCTCTCGGAGGGCCGCCGTGTGATGCCACATGGCAGCCTGTGGCAGGCAGGTGACAGCTCGGAAAGCACCGAGAACTTCTGACATGAGAATTGTGCTCAGGTCCAGCTTAGCCCTGGTCCACTCTGGCAGGTGCAGGCCGGGTCTGTGCGTTGCCCCTCCGCATCTGCCCCCCATGAGCCTGCCTGATGCCGCGGAGTCACCCGCACGCAGGCAGCTGGCTGTTCAGGTCCCCAGCACGCCACCAGCCCAGCACAGGTCTGCCAGCTGTGACCGAGGGCCCAGGCCTCATCTGCATCCCGGTGTGCCTGTGGTTTCAGGTGGGCAAGTCGGTGCTACTTACTTATGATTCTTACACACGAGTAACTTAGAAGGCACCAAAGTAAAATTTTTAAACACATAAGAATTCCCGTTTTTTCCCCAAGGCCACAGGAATGAAATTTTACTCCTAAAGAAATTGCAATGACTCTGACGTCATTAGACCCACCATTTGTCATGGCTATGACTGTGGGGAACGGTGTGAAACATGCCGTTTTTAGGAGAACAGGTAGGCTGTTAATTTAGTTCATGGGAGGCCAGGATCCTTGATAGTATAAACTAGCTGAGGTAAAGCTGAGAATCACTGACAGAAAAGTTTAAATGCCTTTTCTACTAAATTTACAAAATGGTAATGGGAAACTTAATAAGCCTAATGTTTGTTATGGTTCCGTTATATAGAAAATGGTTTTCTGTGAATTTTTGTCTTTATAGATCAGGATCCTGATGATCAACCAAAGAGAAGAAGAATTAGAAAGCATAAGTCAAAGAAAACATTTAAAAATCCCAGCAATGCTCATGAAGCGCGAGCAGAACCAGAGATCCAGCGGACTCTCCCACAGGACACACTGCGGCCACGGCCCCCGGACGGCCCCACAGTCAGCAGAAACCGAAAAAGGAAACTGAAAAAGAAGCAGCGAATCAAAAGGAAGAAAGCAGCTGGCTTCCTAACAAGAGCCTCCGGAGTCGACTTCATGTACCAGCCTGAGGAGAGCGGCAGAGGGCAGGAGGCTGTGCCCGGGGGAGAGGGTCAGCCAGGCCCGGGGGCCACCGACAGGGACGCCAGCGCCCACGAGAAGGCCAGCGGGTCCTAGGCTTTCTGAAGTCAATACAAGAAATCTGTGTTTACAGTGGTATGTTTTTTCCTTTTGTTCTTTTTGACTAACAGTGTCCACTTATTTGGGAAAGAAAAGCAAATATAGTAAAATATTTCATTGTTTAAAATACATATTAAAGTACTCAACATTCAAAATAAATCATTGGTTTTGAGTTTTAAAAATCAGAATATTTAAGTTTTTCCCACCAAAGATCTAGACAGGTGCTCTGCTTGCAATCTAGAGAAGCAGCCCGAGGCGGCCACCTCCTCTGAGGTCGGTTGGGACTCTAGGACCTTAGTGACATTCCTAAAGGAAGGACACACCAGGACGGAGGTGCCGTGAGCTCGCCCTCACCCCTCAGCCGGCAGGGAAGCATAGTGCTGTGTCCCCCAGGAATAAAAGCAGATTTATTCTAAAGGATGATGATTTCTTAGCGTGGAGGCTGCTCACAGCTGACCTGGGGACCAGGAGATGCAGGTGCTCAGAGGCAGGTACACACAGGGCAGAGGCGTCAGCCGGACCTGTTTTCCATCCTGATGGCATTCCTGTAGTGGGAATGTCATGGTTCTGGCATATCCACATTCCAGGAGACATCTGACTGCCCCCACGGCAGGGTGAGGACCTGGCTGTGCAGTACCTTGGGAGCTCAGGAATGACCAAAGGGGCCGTGCGCCCTGAACGGTACCCCACTAGTACACGGACTTCAACGAGAGGATGGTCCCCGGCTCTCCTCTTCTACGTGTTGTCACACAGTGTGTCGACAGATTAAAAACACCCTTAACAAATATCTAGACAACACTAACAGGTGTCCTAGCTGATTCGCAGCAGGGCAGAGCTGGTTCACAAAGGCCTCTGTAGATGACCCGATCCCGGTGGGGTGCACACCTCCTCCTGCCCAGAAACTAGAAAAGCCAGTTTCTTTCATAAGATATGTAAGTATCTGTGGAAGGAATCTAAGGTTTGCTGAGGAGAATCCCCTGAGAGGACAGATCCCAGGGGAGGTAAAGCCACGTGAGGAGCAGGCCTCAAGCCCACAACCCTTTTCCTCAAGGTACTGGCCAGTCGGGCACTGGGTGAGTGTCCAGTGAAAGGGTCTGTGGAGCCCAGAGCAGCCGGCAGAGCACGGCTGTGGCAGCCTCCGGGTCTAGAGAGGAAGTGGGAGAGCCTGGCAGCTGGCCCATCTGGGTGACAGGAGAGCCAACCCCCCTGTGGGTCTGAGCGTGGGATGGAAGGGAAGAAGCCGCATGGAGCTGCTGAGTGACGTGGCGCACCGGCGGCAGTCTTGGAGTCTTGAGGTGCTGAGCAGAGCAAGGGCGATAACTGCCGAGCACAGCACGAGGCTGCGCACCCAGAGCAGGGGGCAGGGCAGTTGGCCCTTTGCATACCCAGTCCGCCCCGTAGCCTGCTCAGTGCCCAGAGGGTCTCTCTGCTGAGCAGAGGCAAGGGGGGCCATCTCTGGAAGAAGATGTCGTTAGCTAAGACTGCTGGCATTTGTCACATTCATTCAATAAAACCTTACCAGGCTAGGCGTGCCAGGAAACGGGGCAGAGGTGCACCTCAGGCGAGGAAGGCACTCATGTTACACAAGGAATTACAACCAGCTGTGAATAAAGCATTCAAGAAATAGGGAGGAATGGAGAAAAAAGGTGAAAAACTAGAGAATTTCACCAGATCATATAAATCTATTAAGATAATCAAATGAAAATTCTAGTCCTGAGAAATACAATAACTAAAATTAAGAACTCAAAGATGAGTTTAAACAGCAGATTAGATTCAGCATAAAAGAAAATTAATAGCTGGAAGCAGGCCAAGAAGTCCAGAGTGAAGGAAGGAAGGAAGAAGATGGAAGGTGCAGAACTGAGCAGGCAGGCCTACCACGCTGGGGGCCGGGAGCAGGGAGACGGGCGCTTCCAGAGACAGCAGTCAGCAAAGGCTGTGAGGTCGCAGATGCACCAAGGTCTGGGGGATCCAGGCAGGGCCCGTGCAGAAACACCACACAAAGCACATCGCAGTCAAACTGCTAAAAACAAGTGATAAGGAACAGACGTCACGTTCAATGAGAACAGAAGTTTGCAGCCTGAGCGTCAGAGCCCCTGGAAGCCGGTGGCTGGTTTCTTGGACCCCTTGAGGCTCCCCAAACACCCAGCAACTCTGTTCTCGGCTCCTGGAGACACAGGGGAAGCTTAGTCCCTCGTCCCTGTTTATTGTGACTCGCACGACGTGTGTTACATGGAAGGTGTTTTACAAGGTCAGACACGTTTCCGCTGTGCCGCTGAGCAGTTTTGCTGTTGGTTTTTCCTCTGATTCTCTCTCCTGGTGGCTTTTTTATCCCAGCATCTCATTCTAAGCAGTTGGAGGGTTGAGGCGAGAGATGAAAGCTCACCTTCAGTTTACAAGAATGCAAATAAACAAGCATTTCTGCGTTGTCCTGCCTGTGGGGGTGTCCCTGAGGACCCTAACCACTAGAGAGCTGTCACGTCTGGAGACTCGCCCCTCAGACATGTGCCTTCTGGACCACATGAAAACACTGCTGTCTCTGTAGGACACGGAGGGACTGAGGCACACCCTGCACGCCTTCCCGGAGCGCGGCACAATGCCCCCCGGGTACATATCGCGCGGTGGTTCCGTCAGACTCTCTGGTCCTGCTTTGCCTGGGAAGCCCTACCTGCACCACACCAGCCAGGGGCCCGAGCACCTGAGGGCCACATGGCTGAGGAGAATGGTGTCCCACTGAGGCATGTCTGTGCTGTGAGTGTAGCCACGGTGCATGTGAAGAAGGGCACGTACAGTCTGACTTCCAGATGGTGAGCTACGAGCTCGTGGAGCAAACAATTGGTCTAAACAGAAGTGAAAGAATCTGCTTCCTGCCCTTTCCGTCTGCTCTGCTCAGTGTGGAGAATCCCTTCTGTCCTCCTGACGTGTCGGCACGCCTTTCCGAGCCCCGCACCTGGAATCGACATGGCTTCTCTTTCATTACTGGCTCTACCTTTACTGGGTTCCATTCTGCCAAACTGGCTCCTTTGTGCTCAGAGCTGGAAACGGGCTGCGGTGGGAACGCCAGGCCTCACGAGTCTGTGAACCCTGAGAAACAGAAAAAGGGCTTTTCAGGCTGGCGGCTGCCGGAGTGAAGGGGGCACGGGGGCAGGGTGAGAAGGGGGGCTCCAGTGATCGGGCAAGTCACGGGGTGTGTGGCACACGCAAGCCGCCTGCAGTGTGACCACTGGGGACACCTCCGGGGCAGGCGTCCCATGAGGCCCGTGACTGTGCATCACGACACTGTGGGCCAAAACCAGGGTCACCCTAGAGGTCCACTGCACACAGTGGGGAGGAGAAGGCAGACGAGAAAACAAGTAACAGGTAAGGTAAGGTGAACTTCATTCTCTGAATTAACATGTAAGTCGCTGAGCTAGCACAGAAGCCAGGAAGAGGAGACGAGGACCACTTCATGGCCGTCCCCGCTGACCCAGAGCAGGCACTTGACAGGCCGCCAGGCACACAGTGGGTGCGATGCTGGGTGTTCCCAGGGGTTCCATCAGAAAGCTCACAGCGCGGGTGAACAGTTAAGGCTGACATATTTAAAGGGCAGGTAACATGTCAGGCCAAGTAAGAGTAAGGCATTACGTAGACACCGGTATAAGTAACAGGGCCCTAAGGACTTGGTCCTTCAGAGAAGAGGCCGAGGCAGGTGCGGTGACCGGGAGCCCCCCACGTCTTGTTGGTGAGCTTCTTAAGGCCCCTCTCCAGCCCCCTGGGCCCAGCCAGCAGCGGGCTTCTCAGTGAGGAAAGCAGGTGGAGACACTGTCCTTCACTGCTTGCATCCCGGTGGGGAGAGAGAAGATAAGCCAGACAAATAAGAAAAGCATGTAATGTTTCCTGGAGTTAAGCCTTCAGGAGAGAAAATAAGGCAGCGAAGGGGAGGTGCTTGTGGCCACGACAGGGTGCTCGCTGGAGCGCCCATGTGTTCAGGAGCAGCAGGTGCGGCGTGGAGGCAGCCTGTGGGCCCCGACAGGGAGGGCCTGGGCTGGTGGGCTCTCCTCCCAGGGGAGGGAGTTCTGGGAGCCCTCTGTGGCCCGGGCACCTAGGCATCTCTGTGGCCCTGTTCAGGCCACAGGAGGGTGGTCAGGTCTGGGGCTCTCCGTGAGCTGGAGACCGGGAAGTGGGACTGGGGCCCCAGGAACAAGGCGGCCCCAGGGCGAGTTTCAGCTGCCAATTGGGTGCCAGTCAGGAACTTGGAGGGGCTGGGTCATGGTTGGCCACCTTCCGGGGCAGGGGGACGTGGGCAGAGGCTTCAGGAGAGAGGCCCGGAGAGGTGGAGAGTCACGGCAGCAACAGGCTCCCGGGGGTGGGATGGGGGCACTGGAGGAGGAGCGGTGTGGTGTGGAGGCCCCCTTTCTGCCCCAGGAGAGCCCGGCATGGGCGGCAGCCGCTGGGGCGGGGCAGCGGTCAGCGCCCACTCTGCCCACCGGAGACTTGAATCTCGTGTTTCTTAGCCATCGTTGCTGGTCAGGAGTTCTGTATTGTTACTTAGAAATTTAAATTTCCATGATAAAGTTTCATCTCAAACTGCAGAAAGCCAATTTTATTCAGTTAAATAGGAAGTTTTTGTGACACATGAAGATAAATCACTTCAATTTAAATTTTGTGATCCTCTCACTGAAGACTTCTTATGCTTTGAAGTTTTTCTTCAAGCAATTGGTAAAACAAACAGATTTGAGGCACTTTTCTATAAAAATGGGTTTCCTTGTAGTGAATGTAGGGTATGCATTCAAAGTTTTTCTGTCAAGCTGCTTTACAAAGTAAAGTGTTATTTATTGATGGTGAAGTCTGCTGTCAAAGATTGGCTTTGTCTATAGAGGTTCCACTGATACAGCTTTTTGAAGGGTCAAGTATTGTTTTCTGAAACCAGCTCGTGTTCAGCCAGCAACCGCCGTGCTCGCCTGAGGGGTGGGCGGGGAGGCGGCAGGTTTACAAGGAGGTGTAGATGCTTCTCCCTGCTTCGTGCTTGGCCTCCTCATGGCAGGTGTTTCTGGGCTCCGTGCGCTGTCTCTGCAGCCTGGGCCGCTCGCTTACCTGTGTCTGCCTCTCTGGGAGCGTCCTTTGTCCCCTGCAGGGGAGCCCGATCCTGATGAGTCGGGCCTGGGGCGTCAGGCGGCGGCCTG